GCCTCTAATCCTGTGCTTAGTCTAAAAAGTGTGGCACCATAGCCCAATAGCCTCTTTTTTTTCTAATTACGTAATCTCCTTGGCTTAGTGGAAAGGGCACTGGATTTGTGTGTACTCAGAAGACCTGGACGTGAGCCCTGGTTCTGCCACCAGTTAGTCATGTGACTGAGCAAATCACAACCATTAGCACCACCCACTTCACAGGCTTGTGAACTGGAAAGCACTAGGTGAAAGATACTATGTACTGTATCCATAGTATCCATATGGGAATGGTTTTTCTAGGTGAAATTTCTCTGGGTGGCTAGGGGGTGAAGCTATTCTTGCAATTCAGATCCTGCCTTGGACACTTACTAGCTGCATGACTTTGGGCAATTCACTTAACCTCTCTGTGCCTCAGGTTTGCCATCTGCAAAATGGGGATAATAATAGCTCCTACCTCACCACAAATGAGATAACATATATAAAGCACTTTGCAGATCTTAAAGCCCAAATATATTCTAGCTATTAGTGTTATTCACGTGCTTTTGGACTGACCCCCATCAGCATCAGTTACTTGTTTTCTGCACAGATAATGAAAACCGATTTTAATATTTGCCTAAGCAAAATGTAATTAGGGATGTAATTCTACTGCTTAAGAAAAAAAGAAAAGAAAATTATAGAAAGCATTTCAAAGCCAAATGTCAATCATTAGTTACTCTTGAATTTCCTGCACGAATGCTTTTCTTCTCAATGCTTAAAAGTTGACTGTGTTCTAAAACTTCATTAATTTGGACAGTTCCAGGGAGGGGAGAAGGGACAGTATGAATTGATCAAAAATGTGAATTGTTAAGTGTTTCTAGAGGAAAGACATTTTGCTCTTTTCTAGTCTGTACAGCAGCTTTTGACGCTGATGACCGCTCCTTCTTCAGTATGTTTCCCCCCTTGTATTCTACTATACTCCTCTTCTTTTTCCTCCATCACTTCTGACCTCTACCTCTTTGCTTTCTTCCCTACTTGTTCTTCTTCCTCCCATATCCTAAACATGGGCCAACTCCAGGCACCATCTTCAGGACTCTTCTTTTTCTCTCCTGACTTTCTCCCTTGGTGATCTCACACATTCCCCACGTTTCAGTGATCACCGCCATGCTAATGATACCCCAGATCCAAATCCAGTTTCTCCCCTGAGCTTCAGTCTTACATCAAATCACCTATTGCATATTTCTCTGTGGTTGCTCTTCTTGCAACTCAACATCAAGACTCTCCAAAACTGAACTTATCATCTTTCCCCCAAAACTCATACTTCTCTAGTGTTTTGGTGAGCTCTAGGATCCTCCAGGCTCCTCAGGATAGGATACTCTGAGTCCTCTTTGATCCCCCCCCTCCCGCCTCATCGGTTCCCATTTCTGATGAGTTGCCAAGTCCAGTTGGTTCTATCTCTTGCAGCATCTTTCACGTTTAGCCTCCCTTTTACTCCTATTGGAACTACCCTACTTCAGGCAGGCATGGCTTCCTAACTGGTCTCCCTACCTTGAGTTTCTCCCCATTCTAATCTATACCTTATTCTATTGCTTTTCTTTTGTACATTGTGTCCTGAGCCATTTCCAGTCATCTTGATCCTTATCTGGCCACTGGGTTCAGATGGCTCCTGAGGAGAAAGCGAGGCTGGTGACTTTGCACAGCCCTGCCTCACTTAAATCCAATTCACTTGCATGTCATGGCGTCACCTCCCTGATGTCATGGTCCTCTTCACGAATGAAGGACAACCAGCAGCAGCAACACATCAAGTCCTTCTCACATTCCTTGCTCAAAAAATTTGTGGCAACCTATGCCCTCCCTCCCAAGGAAAATTCACATTACTTAGCTTGGCATGCAAGATCCTGCGTTATCTGGGGTCAGCTTTTTGGCTCTATATCCTACTACTCTTTTTTCTGTCCTTTCTCTTTTGGTAGCTAAGTGGTTCAGTGGATAGAGCTCTGGCCTTGGAGTCAGGAAGATTTGAATTCAAATCCAGCCTTAGACACGTTCTAGATTTGTGGCCCTGGACAGGTCATTTAACCTCTTAGCCACAGTTTCTTCACCTATGAAATGGAAATGAAATAATAAAAGTCAGTCTCTTTCCAAATCTTAAATGTCATATGAATGTTAGACATTATTGTAGCCAAACTGGACTGTTCCCAGCTCTTCTCTCCATCCCATCTTGCCTTTTCCTGCTTTCCACTTTTCTGTACACCGTCTCAGATGCTCAGAATAAATTCCCATGATATCTCTGCCTATTGAAATGAACTGCCCCCCTTTTTAAAGGCCCACATCAGCTGCCATTTCCTTTGTGAAGCCTCAATTCTGCCAGCCACAGGGCTCTGACATCTATGTCTTCAAACTGTTCATTCCCTTGGTGGGGTTTCATCTATCCTTTACATATACCATCTTCAAGCTTGTATTATTGGTACTTAGCTTGATATCTTGTTCCCATCTATTTAGCAAATTCTGGAAGAAGTTATTGGGAGGGTAGGTAGAAGACCTGTTTTCCCAATACACCCTATACAGGATCTTGTGCATTTTTTTGTTGTTTACATTTGTGCTTTCATCCACATGAAGGACTCCTTGTACACAAACTAACTCTGCTAAAGCAGATAGGCAAGCCTGGGCCACTTGTCTGTACTTTATAGTCTTATAGTTTCCTCCAGCACTCAGCAGTTAAGTGACTCTCCCAAGGTCACACAGCTATCATGTGACTGGCTGGACTAGAACTCAGGGCTTCCTAATGCCAAGACTGGCCTTTTAGCCTCTATACCACACTCTGCCTTACACACAGTATAAGCTTAATAAAAATGTTTGCTCATTTCTCAGTAGTGATCCATGTTGCCATGTATACTTTGTTAGTTTGGAGGTGGTCTGCTTTAAGGAAGAGCTAAGAATGATTTGTATTGTAAATAGCAGAGGCAGATTTTGAATCTAGGTTCTCCAACTACAAATCCATTTCTCTCTCTCCCCCCCTTCTTCCATCCCTTCCTCCTTTCCCCCTACCCTCCTCCTTCCTTCCATCTCTCACCCATCGATCCTAGCATTGTATGCAAATGGTGCTTAAAGATTTTTTTTCCCTTTTGTAGTTGAGAAATTACTACCAGTTATTTGGCTTATTAATTGCTTAATAAATTACTTCCTCTTTACTTTCTTCCTACGTTGAATGACAGAATCTCAGATTCTGAATTAGTGGAGTCTGCATAGCTATGCAAATGTGCCCTTATATTAGAAAAAAAAAAATATATTTTAACACCTCAGCTATCTGGAACTCCCCTATACAGAATACAGTCAAGTACTCAGCTTTTGAGCAAGGTAAGGATCACAGAGTCCGTGTAGTAAAGGTCATTCATTTTAGTAAGAAGAGAGCCCCATGAGCCTTCATCGAAAGCCTAAATCCATATGAAGGGCACATGGGCTTGGTGTGGATAGAGATGCTCCATTTCTAACATATTGTGGCTGTGTGACCCTAAGCAAATCTCATAGGGGAACCCTAAGACTATCAATTGATAGGCATTACCCATCTGCTTTTGGTAGAGGGAGTTTCCTTTACCAAAAATATCACAGGTCTGGTCTCTTCTCCCAAATAAAATACATAATAGGTACATGTATGTGCACATGTACACACGCATATACAATATAGGCACAAAACATGTGCTGTGTATGTATAATGTATACATAATGTACATACATATATAGATGCATGTATAGAATATATACAGTCATACTATGTATGTTTAGATATAGAAACATAAACACGCATATTTAATATATACAGAATATGTGTGTTTGGGCATGTATATGTAATATATTTGTTTTGCACACAACTTTTCAGAACCACATTTGAATTCCTGGAGCACTTAATTGTGTGTATCACTCATTTGACACTTTCCATATGCTTTCTTGAATTGTTTTTATGTGGATACTTCCCTTCTTTCTTCATTTAGTTTGTGAATTCAGGGCGAAGACAAGTGTTCTTCAGGGGTAGAGTGGTCTGGTGGGAAAGAGCTCTGGATGTGGAGTCAGGGGTCAAGGGTTTGACTTGAGGCTTTGTCACTTCTTCCCTGTGGGAGGCTGGGCAAGCCATTTACCTCTAGACCTCAGTTTTCTCATTTAGAAGCATGAAAGGGTGGTGATAGAGTCTGAAATTTTTTCTGCTTCGAAATCTATGAATTTATGGAAAATAATAGGAGGTCTTTTTTTTTTTTTAGGCAATTGGAGTTAAGTGATTTTCCCTGAGTCACTCAGCTAGTGAGTGTTATGTATCTGAGGCTGGATTTGAACTCAGGTCCTCCTGACTCCAGGGCCAGTGCTCTATCCACTGTGCTACCTACCTGCCCTGGAATAGTAGGAGCTTTTGATGATGATAATAATAATAGCAACAGCAATAATAATAACTAGCAGTTCTGTAGTGTTTCCTGTGTGCCAGGTACTGTGCTAAGCACTTTAAAAATATATCTCATTTGATCCTGACAACAACCCCATTTTACAGATGAGGAAACTGAAGCAAAATGACTTGTCCAAAGTCACATAATTATGAAATATTGTAGGGGCTTGACATATGTTTGTGGATTAGTACATCAAAGTACTTATCTGTGATAGACTTTTAATTCTTGTGATCCTTTCTTTTATTTTATTTTTTTAACAGAAAGGTAATCACCTTTCTTTTTAGAGGTGAGTGGGTAGGAGGAATATTGCCACTGAAAACCTTATGATGCTTTAGTAAAAGCTGAAGATGATTAAGGCTGTGGAACCACTTGAAAAACTTTTTAAGGCTTTTCTTTTGCTGTATTAAACGGCTGTAGCCAGCAGGAGGTGCACAGACTATGGCTAGGTCAAAGGCTTCAAAAGGAACCAGATCTCCTGCTCTCAGAATGGCCCTGCTCCTGTCTTGATGGGGTCAGAGCCAGTCCATCTGGGAGCTGTGAAGAGCCTCTGATTTCCATTGTCCTGGGATTGCTGTTTGACTGGGGGACTTGTAGTCACTCTGTCTTTGGTCACAGGTAACCGTGGAGGAGGTGATGACCACGACGGCGTACCTGGATCTCTTCCTGCGCAGTGTCTCGGAGCCAGCCCTCCTTGAGATCTTCCTTCGTTTTATCCTCCTGCACCAACATGAAAACGTCCACATCCTAGACACGCTGACGAGTCGGATCAACACCCCATTTAGGGTAAGTGAGGGCCAGAGAGGACCCAGTCCATCCCTTGTAAAAGGGTTGTTCTGTAACAGATTGTTCCAGAGTCCCTTATCATCGGGAGTGAATGGAGAATGCTCCTTTTCTTTCTTCCCTCTTACTCATTGCATCATTCAGCATTCAGTAGAGCTGAGAGCTGGAAAGGGACTTAAGAGACCATGTATATAGTCCTATTCCCTCATTTTACAGAGTTCTAGAGAAATGAAATGAAATGACTGCTCCAAAGTCACATTGATGGTAAATAGCAGAGGCAGGTTTCAAACCCAGGCCCCCTCTGACTACATCTCTCTCTCTCTTTCTCTCTCTCTCTCTCTCTCCCCCCTACTGGCTCTCTCTCTTTCTCTCTCTTTCCCTCCTTCCCTCTTCTCCCTCCCTCTCCCTTCTTTTCTCCTTCTCTTCCGCTCCCTCCCTCCCTGCCCTTCCAGGTTTCCTTATGTAACTGTGGTGATACACTAGAAAGAGGACTAGAATAAGAATCACAGCACTTGTGCCTGATTCTTAGCTCTGTGGCTTTCCACCTGTGTAGCCTTGGACAGCTCCTCTTGTCCTCAGTTTCCTCATTTGTAAGATGAATAGATTGTGCTAGACCTCTGAGATTAATTCCAGTTTTAAATCTATGAACCTTCTCATATCTGTGGAAAGATGAAATTGATGATGTGCTTTGCTACCAGGAGTCATTTTGGCAGGGAGATGGTACTCACTGCCTTTCACGAGGACTTTTTCTAAATCTGTTTTGGTTGGCACTTTCTCTTCTGAAATGAGCATAATGATAGTGTTCTTCTGAGGAGGTAAGATGCAGAGAAACATATGGCCTGAAGCATAAGTCTAAAGCAAGGCTTATTAACCTGGGATCCATTTTTTTTTAATTTGATAACTGAATTTTATTATAATTGGTTTCCTTTGTCATCCTAAGTACTTTATTTTATATATTTAAAAACGTTTTTCCTGAGAAGGGGTCAAGATTACCAGAGGGTACCATGTCATACAAAAGGATTAAGAACCCCTGGTCTACAGCAAGGAATTAAGGAGGAATCAGGTCTGTGGGATCATCAGTTTAGAGATGGAAGAGGCTTACAGGTCATCTAGTTCATCCTCATTTGACAGGTGGGGAGACTGAGACCTAGAGAGAAGGGGTAAGTGGCAGAGCTAGGATTTGAACCCAGGGCCTCAGACTCCAAATTCAGAACATTTTCCATTGAACCTGCATGACTTAGAGGTAGAGGCAACATGATACATTGGGTTCAAATCCTTCCTCAGACACTAGCCTTGTAACCTTTGATTGGTTGCTTATTTTCTTTGCACCTTAACCAGTTCTCTGAAACTCATTTACCAAGTTATAGATGTTGTGGGTTGTGGTCTGGATTAGTAGTCGGGATTTGACTGATTTGGTGCCTTTTATGGACCAGGCACAGTACTAACTCTTTGGGGCTACAAAGACCAAACCGCAAAAGTCCCTGACCTCAAGAAGCTTACATTCTGTTGGTGGTGGTAATGGTGGGAGCAGGTACACAGATAAACAAATCAACGAAAAGAAAATATAAAGTGTCTCATATTCAGGTATTAAGGAGACCATGTTACTATCCACAGGGCTTTTTACATGGGCATCTGGGCAGCTATGAATTTAGATAACCACTACATAGCTTAGAGCTCTGATTAATTTCAGAAATCCTCTTATGGCCTTTATGGCTAAGAAACACAAATGCTATTTCTGCTGAATCAGTCATTGTTCCAGGGGCAAAGGAAATGGGTCCTGTAAGGAACTCTCCAATTCTGAGCAACTTGGGATCTGAGCAGCCAGAGCTGTTTTATGACACTCGCTCCAACTTGGCCAAGCCTATGTCTGTCTGTCTGTCTGCCTCTGTCTCTTTCTCTCTATCTCTGTCTGTCTGTCTGTCTGTCTGTCTGTCTGTCTGTCTGTCTCTCTCTCTCTGTCTGTCTCTCTCTGTCTCTCTGTCTCTGTCTTTCTCTCTCTCTCTCTCACTGGCTTCCCCAGTGCAAAAGTCCCTCTCTCCTCTGCTGAAGAGGCTTCAGAACAATCAGCAGAATTAAATTTGTGGCGGTGTTGCTGCCAATTGTTGTAAAATGAAATCTCTGTTCCTCTAGGTGTGACTCAGGGCTTTTCTTTAGCAGGGATTCTGAGCTCTATTAGAATGTGAAAATGTGTGAATGTTTTGGAGGAGATAGAATTGAATAATGCCTGAAAGATGGGTGCTATTTGTATAGGTGGCAGTCATGGTGGGGGGCACAGCATGGACAAAGGTGTGGAGGAAGGAACGACAGTATGACACTTGGAGGAGACTGTGAAAGGACTGCCCTAAGCAAATGAATGAACCATGGAGGATGGTGGTGGGGTGGGGCACAGGATTGAGAAATTGGCAATGAAAACAGTGAACAGGAGAAAGATGTGATGAAAGGCTCATTTTAGGAAGGTTAGTCTAGCTCTGTAATTTAACTTGCCGTGTTATTTTGGTTTGAGTCTTTCATCTCACTATGCTAAAGTTTTTTTTTAAGTGATTAGATTTATTAGATGTTCTTTTCTCATTTTATTTTTGCTTTTTTTTTTTGTGAGGCAATTGGGGTTAAGTGACTTGTCCAGGGTCACATAGCTAGTAAGTGTCAACTGTCTGAGGTCAGATTTGAACTCAGGTCCTCCTGACTCCAAGGCCAGATCTCTCTCCACTGTGCCACCTAGCTGCCTCATTTTTTTTTTTTGATGAGGAGTTTTTGTTTTTTTAAAGCAATGCCGTCTCATAGGTGTTTAGTAGGGTATAGATGGCACAGTAGATAGATCTCTGGGCTTGTATTCAAGAAGACCTGAGTTCAAATCTGGTTTCAAACTAGCTGTGTGACTCTAGGCAAGTCACTTAACCCTGTTTGCCTCAGTTTCCTCATCTGTAAAATGAACTGGAAAAGGAAATGGCAAACTACTCTAATATCTTTGCCAAGAAAACCCTAAATATGGTCAGGAAAAGTTGGAGGTGACTAAAATTGCTGAATAAGAGAATTTAGCCCAAGTGTATCAAAGGAATAGCATTAAGTTGTAATGTAACAGAAGAAATTATCAGAGAACTATGTGGCCATGCCATCTCTTAGTTCAGAGAAGGTTTGGTGATGGCGCATTAGTCAAGCAAACGGCCGCCCTCTGCCTTTAGTCCTTCTGACTCCACCAAAGTCTTGTAGGGTTATCTTGAGTTGTTTGATATCTCTGTGACTTGTGTTCTCTAGTTATGGGATCAAGTTGATACATTTTCTTTGTCATGAGATTTTCATATTTAAGTTTGCTTTGAATTTGATTTATTGAAAGATATAAGATAAGATTATGCTGAGTCCCTCAGTAGACATGTGGTGTACTTAGATAAAATGAAAGTAATAAAAAGTAGCTTAGTTCACCATGTATTTATTGAGTCCCTAATATGTGGGGGGCACTGTCCTAAGTACACCGAGAAATGGTAAAGAAGGCTTAGACAGCCCTCTGTATTGTTGGGGAGACAAGATGTACCCTTATGAAATAATTAGAGAATAATAATACATGATAATGGTAATTGCTAAAATTGATGTGGCACTTTTAAGTGTGATGCTTTATATAGGATTGTGGGCTAAGAGGTGGATGGAACCTTATCAGTCATCTAATTCAACCCTCTCATTTTACTGATGAGGAAACAGGTTAAGTGACTTCTGCAGGGTGTTAGGCACTCTCTGTGGATGTTCAGTCATATTTATTTTGAGTTGGGGGGGGCTATAGTATTTGGAGGCTCAATGTAATTTACTAACAGAAACATCTGGAGAACCTTAGCATCTATAAGGAATCTTTCTTATTTTTCATTTGATTCTCACAACCACATGCCAAATGAGGATTGAGAGAGAATGGGGATGTTTTAGCCTGGAAGTAGCTAGGTGGTGCAATGGACCTGGAGTCAGGAAGAGCTGAGTTCAAATCTAGTCAGACACTTAAGTGACCCCAGGCAAGTCATTTAACCTCAGTTTGCTTCAATGAAATGGAGATAATAACAGCACTTAACCTCCCAAGGTGGTTGTGAGGATCGAATGAGATAACATTTGCACATTGTAGGTCTCATAGTAGAAGCTCAATAAACGTTTATTCCTCCCTCTCTCCTCTCTAGAGAATGGAAGACATGGAGGGACATGGTAGCTTTTTTTTTTTTTTTTTTTTTTGCCAGGCAAGTGACTTGCCCAGGGTCGATGGTAGCTATCTTTAAGTACTTGAAAGGCTATTCCATGGAAGGGGGTAGGCATTCAAGGGGGCAATTTTTGGCTTACTATGAGGCAAAACTTCCTAACAATTGAATTAACCAAGGTAGATTGGATAGCCCTTGGAGATTGTAGGTTTCCCTTCTCTGGAAGTCTTCAAGCAAAGATGTGATAACCACTTGCGAGATATGTTGTAGTGGGGATTCCTTTGTTTGGGTATGGGTTAGACTAAATCGGGAATCAGCAAACAGTGGCCCCCTGACCAAATCTGGCCTGCCTGCTTTAGTAGGGCTTGTGAGTTAAGAATAATTTTTTACATTATAAAATAAAGTTTTATTGCATCTAGAAATGAAAAATTATTGTTAGCTGATAGGCAGTACCAAAAGAGGTGGTGGGCTAGAGCCATTGTTTGCCATCCCCTGTACTAAATGCTCACTAAATCTCTTCAACCCAGAAATTCTAAGTGAGTATTATTGTCTTTATTTGATAGATGAAAAAGCTGAGCCTTGGAAAGTTTGAATTACTTGCCTCTGGTCACATAGAGGTGGAATTAGAAGCCTGGCCTCTCCTGATTCCAGATTCAGTGCTCTGTCCACTCAGTAATATGTGCTTTCCTAAGTAGTAGGTGATTAAGTTCTAGAATGATACAGATAGTAAGCATATGAGGAGATTAGAGAAGGGAGAGATCATTATTGTCTAGAGAAGGTGAGATTTGAACTGGACTTTGAAAAAAGGCTAGGATGGGATTTGTATGAACTGAGAAAGTT